GCCTATAAAACTGAGTCAACTTGTTATTTATGCTTATTACAGCACTTAAGTATGTTTAGTTATTTATACATAAATTTATTGAGATATAATTATGCGGTATCAGTTATATGTAATTAATTATATATTATGTAAATATTTTATATATATCAACTATATAAAGCCACTGCGCTACGTCAATGTGAATCAAATATGTTAAATAATTTATCTTAATCTTTCTTCTTTCGGTTTTATTCTATTCTAAATACCAATTATTCAATTATTATTTACATAACATAAATATGCACAAAATTTATTGCAATAATAAAAAGGAAACTAGAATTATCATACAGTCCAATTTCCCGCACTATAGTGCTAAGAAAGCAGGCTACATTTCCTCGCTGAATGGTATACTTAGACTTCTCATTGATTGAAGTAATTGTTACTTACAGTACAATAAAGTAAGAGAGAAATAAATTGAATTTAGTTATATAGATCTCTGACCTGTAGGCCACTGGTAGTGTGTCTGGGACAACAGATTTGAACTCCTTCCGAAGTCAAAATTTTGTCACAATTCAATCAAGTGTTATTTCGGTTCGGAGTGTTTGCGTGATTATTGTAGTGTATTTCACTTTTCATTCTAGTGTAACAAATTGATGTACCGGAAACAGAAATGGAAACAGAAACTTTTTTATTCAATATAGATTATAAATAATACTTATTGAAAGTCCACATTTTGTTTAATTACCACTGGTTCGAAGAAAAAAAAGCTCTGTCCTGGGAAGATCCTTCAAGAAACCCAGCGGGACTTTTTTTAAATAACATCTTACAATCGTGTATGTTACACAATTAACAACACAACAAATTAGAAATAGGTTGGTAGCGATCACCTCATTCCCAGGGGTTATTATCATCCATAAATTCCTTAATATTATAATAATACTTTTTATACAAACTTAGTTTAATAAAGTATTTGAACTTTGAGCAGGGCAAATTTTGTATATTTTCTGGAATTTTAATTGTAAAAGCGTATATCATCGCCCCGAAAATAAGTTACTGACTCGGTGGAGTCGAGTAACTGGTGTTACTAGTTTGTGTCTGTTCCTAGTATTTACAAAATGAATATCACTTATTTTTGTATAACTACTTTTATTTTTGTGTATTTATATTTTCATTTTCATAAACAAATTTCATAAAATTTTCATAAATGTATTGAGAGGCCAAAATTGATATATTAATTTTCCCTTAAATTTTTGTCGCTGCGACTCTTTAGGCTTTAAATCATAAATTTCTCTTAAGGCCCTCTTCTGTAAAACAAATATAATTTCATTGTCAACCGCGTGTCCCCATAGCAAATTATCATGACATTATCTTATGGAAATAGCTAAAGTAAACTAGTCTAGCTGTTTCAACATTTTTTACAGCATATGCTGCAGAACTAATCTCTAAAAGTCTGCTTGCTAGTTTTGACATATGGGGGTTCCACTGAAGCTATGTGTCTAGTGTGATTCCAAGAAAAATGCTTGTATCGACAAGAATCAGTTCCTTTCCATTTAAAATTACATTAGTATTTAATTGTTTGACATTTGGAGTCATGAATTTCATGCCTTTCATTTTAGTGGCATTTAAATGCAAATTATTAACATTGAACTAATTAAATAATTTAGATGTAGCATTATTTAATTCATCATAATTTAGTAATTGTCGTCTTAATTTGAAAATTAAAGAAGTGTCATCAGCAAGAAATATTATATCATGGTTATCATCTACTAAGTAAGATAAGTCATTATATAAGAAACAGTATACAAGAAACAGTAGTCGGCAGAGAATTGAGCCTTAGGGCACGCCCATTTGTACCATCGACACGGAAGAGCTAATAATGTTAATGACAACAATTTGCATTCTGCAACTTGCAACTTGAAAACTTTGAAACTAAATACTAACAAACTTATAAAATTTTTGTTGTAGATATGTTTACCAGTTCCGTTTTGCATAACATGCTCGTTCGTTTCAAAATCAGAATATATTACAATAAATAAATCATTTTAAAAGGATAATTTTAATTTTTATCCTTTTTTTTTTTGACATTGCACATACATTGTTTATTAAAGCTGTAAGATGTTGTATTATGTAATTAAAATATATACTTATAAAAATATTTGACGTTATCTTATATAAGCTATTGTTATTATGCAAACTACTGTGTTTAGGTATGGAGGCGTACAAGAATCTATCACCTATATTATACCTTTTTTGTCATTAGAGGCGACTACAGATAAGGTAACGCTTAGCCACCGCCATAAAGCCCCACACGTGCACCGTATGAATAAAAAGGATGTCAATCAAATCAAAGAATTATGTTCTACTTTTTTAAAATAGCGTTTATTACATACAAGCAACAAAAGTAAGATGTTCTAGATGTAAGTAAAAAGTAACCTAACAGTCTTTACACCTTCTACTGCTAGGCACAGGCGTATTTATATTTCTGGGAGGATTATAATTTATGTTTGTGTGTATACAATACTGCCCTTTAAGGTTTTTAATCGCGTTCACTTCGTAGTTTCTTTTAGTGTAAATATAAAACTTAATAATACTCAGCTCGGCCACGAACGCCACATATCGTATCCAGTTTTAGTTTTCTTAACACAACCAACACATACATATGATCCATAAATATAGAATTTGTTAATTTATTGTATGTTACTCTGTTGTTAACGTGCCAACTATCGGATCCTAGCTTAGCAATGAACTATCGCCGTGGCAAAACAAATATAGTTTGTGTCAATGACCTCGATCGGTCAAGTTCAAGTCAAACTATTACAACTATTATAAATATATACCGGACGACTTGGCGAGAAACTAGTTTGACTTTCTTCGGGAACACGTGCATTCTGATCTCTCGCCAAGGCAGTCCAATGGAACTGCTGTCAGCCATCTCTACCATATTTGCACAGGGAGGACGACTCACTGGCCCATACCGCAAAGGAGGAAGCCAATCTGCTAAGCTCTCTCTTTCCATCCCACTATTCTATCAATTTTCTTCAATGAAATTCGAAAAAATAATTTACATCACTTAATGATGAAATTTTTCCATCCACTTTCTTGACCATTGATAGATACAGAAAAAAAGAAAATAAAAGGAAAGATATAATTGAAGACATACTTTATTGGCCACAACGTATTTATGCTTAAACCGCGGTTGGGATTAATCACTTTCAAATTTCTATTAGAGCGAGAGCCTAGATTATAGCATTTTTCCCCCATTTAGGAGTCCTTTTAGGATTTTTGCCGCTAAGCAGTAATACATCCACTACACAGATTCCCTTTGTAAGCAATAGAAGGGGGCCATTACAATTACAAAGTAAGACATTACTTTTTATCCTGAGAAAATTTAGCATCCCTTTTTTGAAGTTGATTGATGATGAAGCTGGATATTTTTGAAGTTATTTTTTTAAGTTTGTAGCAGTAACTTACAATCTAATGGTTACCGTCAAATAATAAATAAATGTAATATGACGATCAAAATAGTAATATTGAAAACGCAATGGTGTCATGGTCGAACCCTTGGCCTACGGAAACTATTTATAATATAGAAAGAATAGAAGTTTTGTCTTTCTTACGAAAACAAACAGGACAAGTGCGCGAAAGCAATATCACGTATTCTAGATGTTATCAACACTTCAGTTTTTCCGTGGGCGTCGTAAGAGGCGACAATTAAAAATGGAACAGGAAATAGACAGCAGCATTGTCGTGATAAAACTCATAATAATAATAATACTTAATAAAAGAACTGTGGTTGCCAACCCGCGTGACTATTTATAAATATAAATTAACGATGTTTCTTTATTTTTCTTTTATTAACGCTTAGGATTATGCTGTAGGATCTTGCTTCTTGCCAATTTTTATAATTCTAGGTCTACGGGAAATAGCCTATAGGTTTTGATAAATAAGTTTGCGCATTTAAAAATATATCACGTAAATGGCCGTATCTTTGAAATTCGTTAATTAAGAAGCTCCTTATTTTTATATTTCAAAGGCAGCGTATACCTTAGATATTGATATTTATTTCATATATATATATATTTATCACATACCTTAACCCCTTCAAAAAAAGGGCCTTCACAGATGGAGAGACAGACGGACAGTCATTCAACAGATGATTCTATAAGGGTTCCATATCTTTTTGAGTTATTAAACGTTTAAGTGTACAAATTTTTCAATAATTAATTACAATCACCTGTTATTCGGTTCTATATTTAGAAACTGTATGTGGAGACTAAATGCGTTAGTGTGAAATCAAAATGCGATTGGAAATTTACTAACCGGTACAGTTTTTACGTCACGAATATCAATAATAATTCATTTACCTGCCATGTACAAGCCATATATTAGCTTGGTAGTCGTCTCATGGGTTAGTCCATAGTTTGCTTGCAAGCAAGAAGTACATTTTGTTTTTTCTTGTCTTAATTCCTTTACTAAAAAAGGTAAATCTTTATAAAATATTACATTTTTTTACCACCTTACCGTATTTTTTAAAGTAAACTTATTTATTTTAAGCAATTTATTATTTATCTATATATTTTATTCTTTATTGCACCAAATATATTGTACAAAAGGCGAGCTTAATGCTATAGGCCATTCTCTACCAGCTAACCTTGGGTAGAACAAAGAGTGAGGTTGCCAGTATCAAATTTAATAATTTATATGTATATATATATAACTTATTATACTTAGTATTATTCGTAGGTCAATAAGCAATTTGTTCCAGAGGGAGATGGAAGTCCCTGTGAAAGAATGTATTTGTTATTAAAACAAATTTCCCTTATTTTTTTAAAACTCAAGTAAATTGATATAGTAAAGTTATTCTATGTAGTACAAATATTTAATTAAACAATATTATATATGTATTTCATTAAATTTTTTTTAAAGTTTTCGAATCATGCAAATTTTTAAAACATTTAATATATTATATTTGGTAAAAGAAAAGATTTATTATCTATTTTATATTTTTGTTTAGTTCCAAGATGAAAAGCTTCGTCGTTGTGTGCTTTTTCGCGGTGGTGGGTGTAGCCCTCTGCCGGCCCGAGCACTACACCGACCGTTACGACAACGTCAATTTAGACGAGATCCTCGACAACCGTCGCCTGCTCGAGCCCTACGTTAAGTGTATGCTTGATAAGGGCAAGTGCACACCTGATGGCAAAGAACTCAAATGTAAGTACAGAATAATAGCTGTTTATATTATCCTTTAATTTTAAGAAAAATAGTTTAGGATACTCATATTAAATTAAGGTAGAAGATAGTTGAATGCGAATGTCCAAGAATCGTGACTTCAATATAAATATTTATTATTCATTTTTTAAAAACTGCCCGAAAGTTTTAATGGGACCACCTGGAAAATATACCCTTTGAAACATAAAAAAAGAATTTTTCAAATCGATTCAGATGTCTTTGAGTAATCGGTGAAAATGCATAAAAAAAGATTCCGACAAATTGTGAACCTCCTCCTTTTTTGAAGTCGGTGGAAAATACAACAATTAAGATAATGTTTAAGAGAAAATACAATAATAATTTATCTTGTTCCTATTGCCTGTTTGATACCCGTAAGAAAAAAAAAATTAATAGCAGTTATAAGTTTCATTTTCTTTTTTTTTTTTGAAAAACTTTACCACCTGGATCTTCTCCTGTATCGTGGGGACTGTCGGACAAACATCCAGCCTCGGAACAATTATTTGTAGGCCATACAAATACTTGTTCCGTGCGGAATCAGAACCTGCGACCCTCAGCGCCGCAACTCAATGCTAATCCATTGCGCTGCCTCAATGTGAACCAAACATGTTCAATAATTTATCTTAATCGTTCTATGTTCATTTTCATTCTATTCTAAATACCAGTTATAAAATTATTATTTATGTTATGTAAAGGACAATGAACTCATAAAATATCATCCTTCCGGTGTTATAATTTCTTTAGAGTTTTAGTTTAATGAAATGATATCTGATATGTATTTATAGTCGATCTTAAGGCAAGAAATATTAAAAATATACATATTATTTCCCCCTATTAAATGGCGTATTTTAATATAGGTTGTATAAAATAACAAGCAAATAAACAATTTCACCCCCTCAGGGGTTGAATTTTTCAATATCCTTCCTTAGTCTACTTCGTGAAAGGAGTATGTATATGCCAAATTTCAAGTCAATCGGGCACATATAGTTTTTTTTTTGAGTGTTGTACCTGATGGTAAGTAGTTGCTGTGGCCCATAGACATTTACATCTATCCTCGATTGCGAATCAAAATGCAGATGCGTTGTCACCCGTAAGGATTAAGATAGAATGCCCCTTTTCCAGTAAAAATGGTCTCCGGTTCTCTACACTCACCATACGAAACAAGAAGTGTTAAGCTGCTATTTTACGCTGGTATTCTGTGAGAGCGTGGTCCTTCCCCAGTCGAACCGACCCAATCGTGCTGCAACTATACTACTAAAGCTGCAGAATGGCTCTACCACGTATAGTTTAGTTTTGTTGATCTCGTGATACATACGAGTACCACAGCTTATTAGTTAAATTAGATATTTTAATTATAAAATAGATTAATGATATTCATTTTATACTGAGATTATATTTGATTGTGTTTAGAGGATTTGGAGCAAAGACATTTAAGTTAGTATATCTATTTATTTAAATCTCTTTGATTTGGAGATACATAATAAAGCTTTCAATATAATGATATAGTAGCAGTTAACGAGCAAATAATGAATAAATTTAGACCCAACGATATACCAATTTATTTTTGATAGTTAGGTTTAGGTATTACACATTTATTTTTGGATATGCACACACATCTTTGCCTTTTGCATACTATGCCTATAGTCACCTGAAATTATCCTCGATTAAGAATCAAAATGCTGATGCGTTGTTACCCTGGACTACTAAGAAGTAATGCCTAATTGCGTCGCTATTTTCCGTTAGTAAAACACGACGCTATATTACGCGCAGCGTGGTTATACCACGTACTATATGTCTAATCTTGGATCTAATTTCGGCATTTCTTAATAGATATCCCGCCAGCAGTCAATCGCCGTTATGGTAGTGAGTGTAAACCGTATTTTAAAAAAATTACACATTTTGACGCTGCCGTGTATGTACATCTTAAATTTGGTGTGTTTTGTTAAAAATAATATTCTTCTGTTCACAAAGTTAACAAATACTGTACAGATGAAATTATGGCATACTAAGAGACTGACTCATAGTGTTATGCCAAGCAATACTATGAGTCAGTCTATAGGAAAAATTGTTTAGGTATGTGTACTCGTATCAACGTTTTCAATGCATTGCCTACAGAGTTTCAATCTATCCCAAGAGTACGTTTTCGCAGGATTGTTAAACACTGTCTTGAGGAACAATGCTTCTACTATGTCGAAGAATATTTAAATTTTATGTTTAGGATTAGACATCGAAATTAAAATGAATTAATAGTAATTAAATTTTTTAAATTAAATTAAATTTAATAAAATGATTATGATAAATTTTAAATAATGTTAATTATTATATTAGTTGTAATAATGTAATTTTTGATTTAGATAAATATTTATATGAAATCATTATGACAAAGCAATGCTATACTTCAATAATTTATTATGATTAGCTGAGATTGAGATTTGGAAAAAAAATGTAAGCATAGTAGTCCTTATACCCTTATACCCACCCGCTTTGTCTAACATTATTAATACAATTTATATATTGTTCACAGCACACATTAAAGAGGCTCTCGAGAACAACTGCGGGAAATGCACAGAGAAGCAGAAATCTGGTACAAGGCGTGTCATTGGTCATTTAATCAACAACGAGAAAGATTACTGGAATCAGCTCACCGCTAAATACGATCCACAGCGCAAATACGTGGTCAAGTACGAGACAGAACTACGCAAAGTTGCTGTTTAATAAAACTAAATACTAACAAATTTATCACAATTACTATGTAAATATTTGGCAATTCCGTTTAAAATGACAGAATACATTACAATAAATAATATTCATAAAAATAATTTTTATTTTCACCCTTTTTTCGACATTACACATACACTGTATAATTAAGCTGTAATGTGTTTTATTAATTAAAATATAAAATGTGTTTGCATTGGAGTTATATCGACAGCAATTTCGAAGACATGACGGGATTTGTACATTTTGATAAGTTACTTGGACTAGGTTTGAGATGCCAATGAAATTATTTTACCTGTATTTATTTGAGTAAATGGCACGGTTATTTATTATATAACATGCATAGTTTTTTCAATTACGGGCTTTAAAACTCGACTTTTATTTTTCTTATACAGGGGATATTGCGAAATATCCCGGGGTAATTGCGGTTGCTTTCAAAAGGATGTTTTATTACAATTAGGTCTAAAGCTTATATTTAAATTTCATTCAGAATTATCCTTATCAAACGTTACTGGCTGATATTATTGGTTAGAACATACATTTTTATGATATATTGCTTCGGAATAACCCCGCAAAGAAAATATGGTTCTCAACATTTGTAAACGTTTTCATCTATACAAATAAATACAATTGAAGTGTCTGTTTGTAATGTTAAAATTACAGCTTTTTACTAAATGTATATGAAAGTATATACGGTACTAATAACAAAAATAGTCTGTCTGTCCGTCTGTCTGTCTGTTTGTTCCGGCTAATCTCCGAAACGGCTGAACCGATTTTAACGGGATTTTCACTAGCAGATAGCTGATGTCACAAGGAGTAACTTAGGCTACTTTTATTTTAGAAAAAGAATTAGGGTTCCGCGCAAAAAAATTAAAACCCCAAATAAAACGCGGGCGAAGTCGCGGGGATCAGCTAGTTTTATAATATAAAGTAGAAACAACAATAAAACAAATATTTATTTATTTATTTATTTAAGCTTTATTTGCACACATACAAGAAATGTACAAAACGGCGGACTTAATGCCTAAAGGCATTCTCTACCAGTCTACCTTTGGTTTGTGCAGAGAATCTAGTGATGGGTGCAAAACTCATAATTAAAAAAAAATTAAAAAAATTAAAGGTTTAAGGAAAAAAAAATACAAAATTATAATATAATGATAATAAATACAATACACATACATATACATTTACATTACTACTTACATGCATACAATAGTATTTTATACCTGTACACAAATACCCACAATAAATACATACACAGTAAATAAATATGATATTTTTATATTATACATATTTGAGAATATAACAGTTTCCGAGGTTCTTTAAATTTTTTATTATTATCCGAAACTACTGCTGCTTCGTTAAGTAATATTCCCAGATCAAACGTTTAAAGATAGGTTTAGTTTTTGCTTCTTTTATATTTCTGGGTAACATGTTCCAGAGTCTTACTGCATTTGAAGTGAAAGAATTGTAAGAGAAGCCCGTGCGACAGAAAGGAACATGAAGAGTTAGATTTTCCGCGGAACGGAGACATCGGTTGTGAGAATCGTCCTGATACTGAAATTTGCATTTCAGATATGCAGGGACAGACGGATCGTGTAAAATAGAGAATAGCATAGAAAGGATTCTAAAAGATCTACGAAGTGGAAGAGGCAGCCATTTGAGCTGAGAACGGAATGAAGAAACGTGATCGAATTTACGTAAGCCAAAGATAAAGCGAATACAATTATTGAGAAGACGATCCAGTTTGTTAAGAAGTTCTTGAGAGACATCAGCATAGCATACATCTGCATAATCTAGTATTGGTAATACGAGCGTTTGAACCAACATTACCTTTGTTCTCACTGGAAGAAAATTCTTGAGTCGATACAGACAACGCAAGGTGTTGATAACTTTTTTGCTTACTTCCGTGACTTGCGGCCGCCAACTTAGACTGCTGTCAATGATAAGTCCTAGATTTTTCACAGTAGCTGAATAAGGTATGACAACAATATTAAAATTTACAGGTGGCAGTGAATTAAAATCCAATGCAGATAAGCGACGGCTACTTCCAACTATAATTGCCTGGCACTTGGTAGGGTTAACAGTAATACCGAATTTGCTAGACCAATCAGAGATACGAGAGAGGTCAGAGTTTAGCTCAGTGATCGCATCTTCGATATCGTTAACATCACACTGAGCATATATTTGTAAGTCATCGGCATAGAGATGGTACGTGCAGCGAATGTGAGATGTAATTAGATTTATAAAAATTGAAAACAAAAGAGGTGAGAGAATTCCGCCTTGAGGAACGCCAGCAACCAGCGTGCACCAGTCAGAAATAACTGGACCCACGCGAACAGCCTGCTGACGTCCCTGAAGATAGGATGCGAACCATTCCCGCGCTGATGAGGAGAAACCAATGTGAGAAAGTATTGTAAGAAGGATGTCATGATCAACAGCATTAAAAGCGTTTGAGAAATCTATTAAGACTAACACAGTTAATTTTGACTCCTCCATACCTATACGTAAATCTTCCGTAACTTTAAGCAGGGCTGTTGTCGTACTATGTCCTGGCCTGAAACCTGATTGATAGCTACTTAAAAAGTTATTTTTAAAGACGTAGTCAGAAATTTGTCTGTGAGCAACAGCTTCAAGTACTTTTGATAAAAAAGGAAGAATAGAGATAGGACGGAAGTGAGAAACAGAACTAGGATTATTTATTTTTGGAAGTGGGAGAACAAAAGCATTTCGCCATAGTGAAGGAAAAACCCCAGTATTTAATGAAAAATTTACTATGTGGGTAAGTACTGGTAAGACATAATCGAGGATGAGATTGATCATGATTCTGCTCACATCATCAGAGCCTACTGCGGCGGACTTGATGGAAGAAATTGACTTTTTTATATCCTCATCAGTAACGGGAGAAAAATTGAAAGAGCTTTTGTAAAATTTTGGAAGAGAATTAACATGGGCAATAGTAGTAGATTTAATTGACGAATGCAGCTGTGGTGCAGTAGAAAAGTATGTATTAAGTTGATTAACAGAGAAGATTGAAGGATCAAAGTTAGAAGCAGGTTTACCTATCCCGATTGATTTTAAAAATTTCCACGAATCAGCCATAGAAGCGTTAAGGATATTTCGATGAATATAACGGCGTTTAGCGGCCCGCACCATCTGATTACACCGATTCCTAGCGGCTTTGAATCGAGTCCAGTTAGCAGTACACCGATTACTCTTATATTTACTAAATTCTCGATCACGCTTTGCCATAGCCCTGCGGATATCCTCAGTAATCCACGGCGCAGGAGATCGTTTCAGTCTGACTTTGTGTGAAGGAGCGTGTTTATCAAACAACTTCTGTATATTTGAATTAAAAAGAGCTACTTTTTCGTCAACACTCTCCACACTGAAAGTATCACTCCAATCTATACTACAAGCACCTTGCTGAAGTTCTTCAACATTAAGTCTCGCTAGATTACGCAGATGCACCGTCACATGATTGACCTTAGGACATTTAATCCTATATGAAATATACAGTAAATCGTGCTGCGAAAACCCAGGGGCGGAGAGTTGACCGTGGCCAACGACATGGTCTTCAGAAGCGACCACTATTAAATCTATTAAAGAATCAGCAGTATCAAGATTGTGGTGTGTGGGGTCGAGAGGAAGAAGTGACAAATTAAAGGAGTTCATAACTGTATACAATTCACGTGACCTCGCTGAGTTACAGAGAATATCGGTATTGAAGTCTCCCATTATAATAAAGTGCTGATAATCAGAGCCAATAGAAAAAAGAGCCGATTCAAGGTCACAAAAATAATTAACTCCTGGTGGACAGTAAATTGCACCGAGAACAGTCTTAGTCCCACTGATGGTAATCTCCAAGAACATGTATTCTATTGTACCAGAATAAACAGATGAAGAAGCACATAATTTTTTATAGGGTATACCATTACGTAAGTATACCGCTACACCACCACCTCTTTTGCCCGTACGGTCATTTCTTAAGAGGACAAAACCAGGTATTCCAAAGGAGGTGGACGGTAAGGTAGGTTTTAACCAGCTTTCCGAAACAAGTATCGCAGAAATAGACTGATTATGAAAAGTATCAACAAGTTCATTATAATGTTGCGGAATGCTCTGAGCGTTAATGTAACAAACGTTAAAGTTATTAGTCAAACCATGAAACTTTTGAGTAAGCAGATAACGAAGAGTAGTAGGTTCCGAAAAAGAGTCATTTAGTGAAAAGAAAGAAGAATCTGAATCAGCAGAGAGAAATAGTTCATTGGTATCAGAATCTGTCATAATATATGATTATACTTATGATATATGTCTAAAAATATAGAAAAAAAAAACCCTATTAACTGATAATTGCACTGCAAACAAACGCGCCGGTAAACTGTTTACAAAAAGAAAAATTAAAATATTACACGAAAACAACAAGTAATACTTACTACAAGAAAGTATCTAATTTTAATTATTTACAATTGCATAGACAACAAAACTCGTACGTATTGAAAAAGAAGGAAAAAAAAATATGTTAATCACTACGAGAAGTGGTAATTTAAACGAGAAAAAAAATACTCTAATGCGTAATTTCACGAAATTTAAGGTTCAGATTAGTCTGTACTATTACTTGTGTCGCAAATCAGCCTAATAACCGGTTGCGGAGAACAAAAGGATCGAATACAAAAGCGCTCAGTGACGTACACAGTACACACAGCAGTAGTAGTAATTAATAAGCCGTCGAAGTGTAAACAAAGTATTACCACTATCCCGAGAATGTTTACTTATTTTTGAATGCTCGTCGGGTCCTTGGCTGCTCGCTACGGGAAACTACACTACTAGTTCCTGCCTTCACTTGTTCCGGCTCCTCGTTGCATCCAGCTTTATGAAGATCACGCAGTAGTGCATCCAGGTCATTAGCGCTAAAGATGTGACGTCGAGACCCATCAGGCAGTCTAACGCTTATGTTGCCCTCAAATGACCAGACTTTTTTAATTCCAAAATGCTTACGG